CTGGAGAGAGGGTACAGCCACCAAGTTCTGGGCTGCAGTCTTTGGAGCAGAAAGAGAGAAAGGCTGACCCCTGCTTTCCCTCACTTTGAGGGCCTCAAGGTCCCCTTTAGGGTCACTATTATTTTCCAGGCTGAAACTCAAGAAGATCCTGGCCTTTCTCTCCTTTGTCTCTGCTAAGCAGCAGGGACACAATTCTCCACCTCCTCTAGGGAGAAAGATGACAATTTATAGAATTGTTCTGCTGTTCTTATCCCTCACTGAGACAAAGAATTCATTTCTGTCTCTCAAGGTGGCTTTCCCTGCTGATAGTCATAAATTGCCTTCCTGCTTACTCCCTGACCTCTTGGTCTTTTTGCTTTTGTGCTCAAGAAATTATTAATATTTCTCTTAACTCCACGTACATCCTTTGACTGCTTCTCTCTCATTTTTTTCTAGGTTAAGTAGCATCCTCAGGGGGTGAATCCCACTGCCTCACACCTGCACACTTCTATCTGGGCAGGGCTCTGTGCAGAGGATGGACACAGACCCACAGGAAGAAGATTCAGAGTCCCTTCTTTGGGAAGCTCCAAACTAAAAATAATCACTGAGTGCTCACTGTGCACCTAGTACGGCTCTGAGAATTACATGAATATGGTCATGCTCCGTCCTCACCATAACCCCATGCAGCACTCAACTCTGCTACTCCACCTAAACACATAAGGCACACTGTGCATGGAAAGAAAGAGGTGGGTTTAGCTCTTAATTGTGAAGGTTCCAGGGCAGGCAGCTGCAGTTGGTTTGGTATCTGGAGAGGGTAGCTAATGATGTCACACCATGGCAGCAGTGTCTTGGGTGGGTGAGGGGTCACATATGAAATGTGAAGCCAGAGGGAGCTTACTCCTTCCTTTCATAGCCCTGTGCTGCAAACTACCAAGGAAACTCCCTCAAGAATTACTTTACACCTCTAGGCGACTCAGGGATATCCCAGTGGTCCTCATCTCTTAAGGGTTCTAGAGCCTCCCAGTGCTGCCCCTCTGGGGATCACTGGAGGATCCTCAAAACATAGCCCCTCATAAAAATTACTATTATTAGTTCTGTTTGCATACAAAGAAGCTGTGGACTGGAGAAGTTAAGTATATACAGAGTCCCATGTCCCACAGCAAGGATGAGGCAGAGCCTGGATTTAAATCTTGTCTGATTCCAGTGTGTCCATATCTCTTGCTCTCAGCCATGCTACCTCATGGATGGCTTGATCCAATTCTTTTTCTATCGGACCTCTAGGCTAAAGGCACAAGAATAGTTCTTGCCCCCAGGGACTCCTAAATTTTACTACATGTCTTGCTTACTTTTCTCTCATTGCTGGGACAAAATACTCGATACCCCAAATTAAGGAAGGAAAGATTATGTATCTGAGTTAGTGGAAGTTTCAGTCAATACTCAGCTGGCTCCAAGGCAGAGTGACACACAGCAGAAAGCAGTGGTTCATGATAGTGGAAGACAGCAAAGAGCAAAGGGAGGAGCAGCGGCTGCAGCAGCTAGCAAACCTCTCTTGCCTCCTTACATTTGTATGTCGATTATCTGCCCCAGGGTGGGTGTAGCGCTCATACCCACAATCCCCACACTGGATCATGAGTTAATCTCACACTCTGAAAGCTGCCCTAATGACTGCGTGACACTTTGGGGGGCAAACAGACATAAATTATAACACTGTGCTTCGGATGTGAAATGTTCCTCAAAACTCGCGCGCTAAAGGCTAGGCTGCCAGATGGTGGGCTTTGGGGGAAGGAGATTGAATCATGAGGGTTTTAACCTCAAGTGGAACAATTCATTGGTGAGCTCACATGTTGATGGCATTATTAGAAGGTTCTAGAAAATGAAGGCATCAATGAAGGGAAGAGGGCATGACCTTCAGGACTATCTGGGCTTTCAGCCCCTTCCCTCACTCTTCAGCCATGATATCTCTACCTTGGCACAGGCCTAAAACGGTGGACCCAGCTGACCATGGACTGAAATTTCTGGAGCTGAGAGCCTTTTCTTGTCTGTTATTTTTCTCAGGTACTTGGTCATAGTCCACAAAAGAATGGACTGACACAACAGGGGAAGCAGATAGCCTGTCCTAGGGAGACACATTTTCGAAACTGGCATAGACTTTGCCTTCTCTGCTCCAACGGGATACTGGAGACTCAGTCCCAGGATGTGCCCATTTGATGAGTTATATAATTAAGCTCCAGGAGATTGGCTTAATCCAATAAGACAGAACTGTGAATATTACTGCTGGAGAGATGAGACTGGAGCGGAGTTGGGGAAGTTTAATTGGGGTTGCCCCAGAAGAGGGGAAGGTAATATAGGACAAGCAATAGGCAGAAGCAATGCTGGGGGAAAGAAGCAGCCAGGGTTCCCTGGCGGTGTGCGGGTTTGCTGAGGGCAATGCCTGGAAAGCCTGGGTTTGCTGAGCTCAGTAGTTCTCATCCCTGGCTGCCTATTTGAATTACCTGGGGGTATGTTTAATAATACTGATGCGTGGGCGGCAATCCAGAACAATTCATCATTGCAGGGCAAGCCTTGGAACTGTTTCTTAAAAGCCCCTGGGGAGATTCTAATGCAGAGTTGGTGCTGAAGATCCCTAAATGGGGAGAGGGTCTTAAATTATAGGGTCCAGGGTGCTAAGCGGCTTGTGTGGAGGGAACTCTGGGGAAGTGACTTTGACCCACTGAATTGGTGAGAACTGGGGATTAACAGAAGAGGGGGGAGTGAAGGGACCAGGGCAGAAAGGTGTGATTCCTGCTTTGGCTGTTACAGAGCTGGAGAACTTCAGCTTTTGCAAGGAGGTGAAGGTGAGGTAGGAAGCCCAAGAGAAGTTAAAAGCCTGGACAGCCCAGCTCTTCTTTACACTCCAAATAGCTTGTAGGCCTCAATAACAGAAGCCCAAAAAGACAGGCAGTAAGCACTAAGTTAAGAATATTCTTCTCCTACGGATTTTTTCTTAAACTTTTACACAGTTGTTGCCCCATCCCATCTCTGCATGCACCTCCATTCAGAGTGCAAAGCTGTCTGGTTACTTGCAAATCCACCCAAGGACCTGAGCTTTGCTGTTCCCCCTACCTGCTCGGTGCTACCCCCAGATGTGACACCTTTGTGGCTGAAACCCTGAGTTCCTTCAGGTCTGTGCTCAAGAGTTACTTTTGCATGGCAACTTTCCCGGACTACTCCTAGGAATAGACTGCTTTACTCCCTTCCTTCCCTCCTTGTTCTTTTTGTCCTATCTTATTTGTCCTCCATAGCACTTACCATAATCTGGTGTTTTCATATATAATTTTTCCTATGACCTCTCTCTGTCCTCCAAATGGTACACCAAAGGGAGAATTTATCTTTATTTAATTTGTTGCATCCCTAAAGCCTAGAGTGTCTGGAACCTAGCGAGGAAGAAATGTCTGTGGAATGCATCATTAATGAATGAATAAATGAAAAACCTTTGTGTGTCTGTATGTTGGGGTGTGTGTGTGTGTGTATTTGAAATAGTATTCTTTTATCTCAGGGCTAGGTGGAGCTCTATGTTTACGTTATGTATTTGTATGTACATCTTTTTCAAACATAAGGAGGATTCTCTGGCTCTGTGCACACTGCGCGTTGGAATGTGAGGTCGTGTCTTGTCTGGCTTCTGTGTCCTCTGGCTAGTGGAGCAATCAGCCTAGTGTCACGGTCCTCGCAGAAAAGAGGCTTTATGACCATCTCGTACCAGCAGAGGGCAACAGAGAGCCACGTGCCTGGGCTCTGGGTCGAATAGGAGAAATCTTGGCGGGGAGAAATTTTAGGAACCCAGGAGACCCATAATCTGGGGGACGTTGGTGAGGGGGTGAGGGGGACCTGGGGGTGGGGGTGGGGCCGGAGGCCTCATTAGGTTAGCAGTATGGTAAAGTTGTTCAATTCCTATAACTCTGTTATTTTCTTTCGCTTCATCCTCCAGGACCCGGGCCTTGGGGCATCCCCAGCTGCCCGATGGACCCGGTCTGCCCAGGGGTTAGGTCAGGAGCTGGTTGTCACACTGGGCCCGTCCAGACTCCCTCTGAGTCCCCTCCAGATACTCACCAGGAATCCCCTCCCTTCCCAGTTCCTCCATCTCTCACCCCAAAGGATCTCCAACTCCTGCGTGCTTGGAGATCCTCCCGGCTGCGCGCTCTCCGGCTGCCTTCGGAGCGGGAGGCAGGAGAGGCCTGGGCCTCCGACGCCGTCGAGCCGCGCGTCCCTGGCAAGGGAGATGCCCGAGATGGACAGGGGAAGAGTGGATTGCGCCTCTTCGCGGCCGCTGCGGACTCCCGCGCCTAGCCCGGCCCCATCCCGGCTGGCCGCGGCCCCCGCCGGGGCTCAAGGCAGGTCCCAGAGGCTCCTCCAGCTCCGGGTTTCGTGGGTGGGGAGGGCTGAAGGTTCCTCCCCTCCAACATCCATCCGCTAGGCAGTCGGGAATTCCTAATTTGGGGTGGGGGTGGCGGAATCTAGGGTTATAACCTTGGTGTGGGTTTTTGTTTTTAAAGAGGGCTTTAAGCTTTGCAACTCCCCGCCCCCTTCCCAGACTCACCCCCAAGCACACGCACCCTACACCACCCAGCCGGCGTCCTGGGGCGAGAGGGTCGTGCTGTAGTCCCTGCCCCGCACCCCCTCGGCTGAGGGCCCCAGCGGTGGTGCGTCCCCGCTGGGTGCGGGGCTGGGGGTTCTGGGTGGGGGCCCCTTCCCCGGGCCCTGGGTGCCTTGGTGGCTCTCGGGGCGGCGCGGGGCGAGAGAGTGCGCGCGCGTCGGGGGCAAGGGGGAGGGAGGCGGGAAGGAGGGAGGGGGAAGGAGGCGCCGTCGGGGAGAGTGGACGTCAGGGGGAGGGAGAAGCGGGCGGGGAGGGAAGGGAGGGAGCGGCGCCCGGACGGAAGAGACCCCGGAGATAAAGCCCGGGAGGGGGCGGGCCGAGGAGGAGGCCGGGCGGGGAGCGCGCGGAGGAGGGAAGTGAGTTTGTGCGCGCGGGCGCGGGTGCCGGGCGGGCTGCAGGGCGGCGTGCGGGCGGGGGCCGCTCCCTCCCCGCGCTCCCTCCTCTCCCCGCCGCGACTCGGGCCCGGCGCGGGCGGCAGCATGCTGAGCCTCCTCGTCTGGATCCTCGCCCTCTCCGACACTTTCTCCCAAGGTAAGGCGGGGGCGCGGCGCGGCCAGCACGGAGTCGGGGCCGGGGCGCGGAGGCACCGCGCGGGCGGCGAGGAGTTCGCCTTTCCTCTGCCCAACTACTTTCCTCCCGCCGCGCGGGAGCGCAGAGCGCTGGGGCCTCGAGGGCCGGGGTCGGACTGAAAGAGGGACCCGGACACCCCACGTCTCTCTGGGAGCCTTAGGGTCGGGGATCCGAACGCCCCGCGCCGTGCTACGGGGAAGGCTGGGGAGAGTGGGATTTCAGATTTGGCGGGGGTGCGCGGGAAGCTGGAGACCGAAGATGTGCCGTGGGATCCCCTACTTCAGCTCTGCCCCTGGGGCGCCGGAGCGAGAACCGCGCTCCAACGCCAGCAGCGGGAGCTTCCCCCTCACGAGGAACGGGGTGCCTAGGGTCCGGGCGGGGTTCGGGCTCTGGGGAGGGGGAGTGGAGTTACTAGTAGAGCTGCAAGCCACACTGGTACCGCGGGGACACTTGATGGGGGCACCCAGGCGGGTCTGGGCAGTGTTGCTCTCTGGGGCTCACTTGGAACCCGCAGGGACAGACTGAAAGTGAGTGGGGCGGTAGAAAGGGACAAGGATGTTGCTGTGTCCTGGGTGAGGATGAAGAGGGTTCAGGGGTCCAGCCCTGGCCCGCGTCTGTGGGAGTGGGTTGTCTCCTGGATCTGACTCCAAGGAAGATTTAATCCCGCCGAGCTCCTCCTCCTCACTCCCAGAAAAATGAAGCTGACACACAGAAATTGATACGCAAACACCATAAAACAGTTTCTGACACGGAGACAGACCGCTCACCCACTGAGAGGTAGACATACCCACAGACGTCCCCCACACGGAGACAGACACCTACACAAAGAGCAGACTCATCCCAGGAAGACAGATTCCTCCTCCAAAACGAACACGCGCTCCCGATCCACACACCCCAGCTTCCAAACTCGTGTACACAGTCCCTGTATGCAGGCAGGCGTTCACAAGGACACACGGACACACTCCCACACGCTCCAAACCCCGAGCAAACAAAGAAACTTGAGCAGACATCCACATAGGCTGACACCTATAGAGATGTACAGTGTACAAAATGGAGGAGATGGTGGGGGGGTCTGGGAAAAGAGAAGTCCGCTGGGATGTTACAGCCCAGGCATTGGCCCTCTCTCTGCTTCCTTCCTGGTTTAGGGGTGTGTGTTTGGGGTGGGGTGTTTCTCTGAACCTCTCCCCAGCGCTGAAGGCAGAGGAACGTTGAGCTGATGGGGGCAGGCAGTTCTCCATTCCTCTTTCCTACTGGGACACCTTTAGGGCATGCATCTGTGGTGTGGAAGGGCGGTGGTGTGGAGGGAAAGGAGGAGGCCTGCCCCAAGGCAGGCCAGGCCCGGCTTGGCAGAAAGTTGGGAAGATGACTGAAGTTCTGACTTTGTTCCGCCGCTGGGCTGCAGGAGGAGAGGGGAGGGGGGAGAGTTACCGTGTGGGAGGGGGGAGGGGCGGCGGGTCAGGGTTGGTGCTGTCTGTCGGGGGAGGCTGATGTCTGCCCCTCCTGCGACCCTCACATGTCAGCAACACGGATACGAGTGAGCTCTAAGGAACAAAAGCTGCAGTTAGGAAACAGCAGAGACATGTGGATTGAATTCGGGACAGAAATGGTCCGAGAGAAATGTGCTATATGCCTTTCACCCCGTGGAAGGGACTGAGGGGGCTAGGGAGCACTGAGCCCTGCAGCTTTCCTGCCGAGGACATGGGTGAACTCCAGGCCTCCTGGAAATGTGCAGAAGTATTTGGATAGAGGGTGGCGAAGAGCGAGGAGAGGATCAGGATGGGCAGGAGGGAGAGGAAATCACCCCTGAGGGCCCAGCGGAGGGAGGGAGGAAGGGGGACCCTGGTCAGGGCCCCCTCCCCCGCGGTTCAGGGGGTAGGGGAGAAGGTGGTCAGAGAAAGCAACAAAATTGAAGGGGGGGCAGAGGAGCCTGGAAGGGGAGATTCAGCCTAGGCTGAGAAATAAAAATTGCATTTTAAAGAATTTCAATGGGCTTCATCAATCTTCATTTTTCACTAAATAATTTTCTGTATCTTATCTAAATGAAAACCATTATCCTTCCCCCTGTTTCCATCATGCGCCGGCTCCTCAGACTGATTGCGCCGAAAATTGAAATATTTATTCATTTTCTGGGAGATTTTCTCGCTCCCTCGTCTCGGGGAGGAGAAATTGAAAAAGAAAGATTATAGCTAATCAGAGCAATGTGGGATGACAGGCCGGCCCCGGGCGGGAGCAGCCTCCAGAGGGGGGGTGGCTGTGGGAGGAGGAGAAAAATCTGTCCCTCCAGCCCCCAGAGCTCCCCCTGGCACTGGTATCACTGCCTTGGAGGGGAATAAGGGGTAAGAGGAAGAGGCCCAGTAGCATCCCAGGTTCCTAGTGTTTAGCTCCCTGAGCACAGCCACATCGTGGCGGAGAAGGTAAGACCCAAAACCAGGAGAGCAGTTGAGAATCTGCCCTCTTCCCCTCCCTGTGCTGTACACACACACACACACACACACACACACACACACACTCTTCAGATGCCCCACTTCTGCAGAGCAGGGCACTGAGCTTGGGTCACAGGCAGGGGAGAATGGCAAAAGTCAGGACACTGGGTCCCCCTCCCTGACCTTGACTGAGCTGTACCTTCTGCTAGCTTACACACAAAGGGAGACCCAAAGGAAGTACTAGGAGCCACTGCCCCTGGCCTCAGTGCCCCTGGGGTGGAGGAGCCATCTGGGCCTTCCCACTTCTGCTCCTTACCAGAGCTCTCTGCCTTTGGTTTTCCAAAGGTGGGGTGTAAGGTGAGGAGGCTGCCTGTCCTCACTCCACCCCACGGGCACGCAGAGAACTTTGTGCCCTGATCAAACTCCTCTAGGACCTCTTTTTGTCCTCCAGGACTCTGTAGTTTCTGGCCCCTTAACTATCTGATCAATGGATTGATTTGACGAAGATGCTGGGGCGGCGTTGGAGAGAAGCAGTATTAAAGGGGGATCAAATCACAGGCTCACATTGCCTTGCACCTGGTTGGTCACAGCAGCTTGAGTGATTTCTGTGCTCTCTGTACCTCAGTTTCCGCATCTATGCAGGGAGGCTAGTAATAGCCCCTCATGGAGTTGTGTGGCCATTGAATGCGTTAATCTGTGGAACGTGTGAGGAACAGCATTGGGCCCCGAAGTGCTGGGGAAATGCTGTGTTCTGACTTTCTATCTGGCCGCTCCTCGATCTCCCATGCCTCCCATTCTGGGTCCTGGGCTTTATTCAGCCTCCCCTTTTAATCTCTTGGACAGAAGCCAGTTGTGGTGGAGTCAAATGAGAAAACAGAGTTTTCCCTTGGACTGGAGACCTCTAAAAATGTCTGAGGAAGGGACTTGAAGGGAGGGCAAAGCAGAAGAAGCGTTTGCATTGGGGTGACAAGGAGCCGCATCTCCTGTGAAATAAGGAAGGACCCTAGCCCTGCAGTGGCAGCATTTGAGAGTCTGGAAATAATATGGATCATTTATTGAGCACTTATGCTAATTACTTTATAAGGATTAGCTAATTTAATCTATACAGCGCTGACCTGAGATCTGTTCTGAAAGTATCCCCATTTCATGGATGAGAAACAGGTTTAGACAGGTTTTGTCCACCACATCAATCTAGGAACCACCTGAGCCCGAGGCCTGTGCTTCTCCCCCTTTGCCAGAGGTCCTACGTGCCATGGGGATGGCTGCTGATCTAGGACAGGGTTCTTCCTGGTTTGTGGCAGAATGAGACTAGGAGGAAAAGGGGTTGTCTTGTAAAGGTAAACTCACCTGGATATTTAAAACCATCCTTTATTTTGAGATTCTGTCCTACATTTTTTGGTGCTAAATTGTTTTTCTTTGATGACCGTGGAACTAAGTAAGCTTTAGTTGGCAAATAAGGCTTGCGGCCTTGTGTTTGTTTCTAATATTAAACATGGCTTTTCAGGTGCATGAATTACAAATTGTGAAGCACCCGTGTGCCATTCAATGCTGGCTTTAGGGAGAATCGTAAAACAAGAGGCTGCAGAATCCACTGCTCCATCAGTCTGGTGCCGGGCACAGAGGAAGCCAGAGTCTTGGGTGGCTTTGCCTGTGGGCTGGGGACCTGCTGGCCTGGGGCAGTGAAGGGGGATCACAGAGGTCAGGTCTGGTACTGAAGCATCAAAATTACCTTTTATTGAATTCCTACTGTGTGCGTTTCAAATTAATGTTATTGCCATTTTACTGATAAGAGAAGCAAAATTGAGAGTTTAAGTAACTTGCACAGGGAGGGCCTTCCCTGGGGTGTTAGCTCTGAGAATCAAACCCTTTCATGTCTCACTACAAAGCCTGCAAGCTGACAACTCCTGAGGTCAGAAGGGGCCCAGGCCCTCCTCTAATCCGGTTTCCCACAGCCCCTTTCTCCCCTCCTCAGCCCAGGTCTGCCAGCCCTCCTCTTCCTCACTCCCTTGCCTGGGTAATTGATGACCCATCTGCTAGAAGGCAAAACTTAGATGTCCGCATACCCTCGGTGGAGGGTAGAATCATAAATACTGTGCCCTGCCTCAGTGTTTGTGTTGTCCCAGCCCTTTTCCGCCCACCTTTTGAGATTTTGCCCTTGTTGTTTGGATTGGGTTTTTATTTTTTGGGTAATGGGAGTGCAAGCAGGGCTGCCCACATCTGAGGCAAGCACTACACCACGGCACTGCCACGGTCTCAGCCTTGCCCACCTTAGGACTTTTTATAGCTTTGATCTGTTTGTTTCAGATGTTAGCAAGGGTGTTGTGTGTTCTGTCCATTTTGGTAATGTATTCCATGATGGAGTTCAGACGGTCATTATTTTCCCAGGTCATAGACGGGAAAATAGAGCCCCAGAGAGGTTAAAGGCTTGCTCAGCAGTAGAATGGTTCAAGGAGGCTGGAAGTAGGGCTGCAGGGGGAGCTCAGAGCCAAAGTCTTGAATCCCCCTGATTGATTTCAGGGTGCAAATTCCATCTGAGGG